ACCCTGAGGCAACCCTATCACAGGGGATTCTTGGTAAGATTTTGTTCAGAGGACATTTGCCTTTGCCTACCTCTGAGGATGAGAGTGTGCGCCTTGCCCAAGATCACCCAATGGGTTTACATGGCAGAGCAGAGATTAGAACCCTGGTCTCCAGAGTTGTACTTCAACACTCAAACCACTACATCACGCTGGCTTAGTTCCTATACAGTCAGCCCTTGGTATTCACCGATGCAACCATCCACGGCTTGAAAATATTAAATATATATATATAAATTCAGAAAAGCAAACTTTGATTTTGCCATTTTATATAAGGGACACCATTTTACTATGCCATTGTATTTAATGGGACTTGAGCATCCACAGATTTTGGTATCCATAGGGGAACCTGGAACAAACCCAGTGAATACCAAGGGCTCACTGTACAGTTGGTCCTCGGTATCCACGGACTTGCCATCTGCAGATTTGAATATCCGCGGATGGTAAGCCCCCATTATCCCCAATGGCGGCACATGCACACCTGAATTCCCATTGTCCCTAATGGCAGTGTGGACACATGCACGCGCCGCCACTGGGGACAACAGGGGCTGTTCCTAATGGCGGGGTGGACACTTGCACATGGCACCATCGAAGTCCTGTTGTCCCTAATAGTAACGTGGGCATGTGCCACCATTGGGGACAATGGAACTTGATCATGCACGGATTTTGGTATCCGCGAGGAGGTCTGGAATGGATCCCCCGTGGATACCAAGGGCCGACTGTACTACCTAGGCTTCTCTGTAGAGCTGTATTGGAAGCAGTACAAACTCTTACTTTAACCACAAGAGGCCCCCATTGTCTTTGTTTCTTCCAACACTTAGTATTTATTCCATTGATCTACTCTATCCCTTGATGAATCTGTAGGTACACAGAGCAAATTTATAAAGATCAAACCCAGTGCTTCAAGACTGATTCATTTAATATTACAGAAAAATATTCCACTAAAGCCAGAACTGGGTTTGATCTTTAAAAATTTGCTATGTGTACCTACAGACTCATCAAGGAATAGATCAATGGAATAAATACTAAGTGTTGGAAGAAACAAAGACAATAAATATAACAGATGTGATCGAATGAAAAATAAGTAATCACATCATTACATATAATAATAATAATAATATATATGATAACAGCGGCACGCCTGGTGTACCCAAGATACTAGAAATCTGACAAAATACCTACCTTACAGGAATGGAAAGCAAAACTAAATGATTTAGCAGCCATGGACAGATTGTCCATGTATATCACAGGAAAAACAACAATATGAAAAGAAATGGGTGGGGGGGAATATACAGATATTGGTGCCAGGACATAACTAAGGAGTCTGAATGAACATAAGAATAGAAAATATTTTATAT